TGGCTGGTTCCTGATGTCCCTGCATCCCTAGAGGTGAAGATCAAGCGTGAGCGCTACCTGGCCAAGCAGGCATTGGCTGACAACCAGGACGTGCTGCTGACGGTGAGTTGCGACTCTTCTCCCTCACCAGGTCAGTGCCAGCAATGCACTTGTGTGTCTGTGTGTTTGTGTTTTTGTTGGTACCAAATACCCAGCAGCAAGGCAGGGGGCTGATTCTTCCTCACTATTTTGGGCACCTACTATCATGCCAGGTGAGTAGGTTGCCTTGAGAACCTTTGAACACGATGGCGTAAAAATCTGCTTTTAGGTTTGTCTGAGCATCTTTTATGGAGGGTGGAGTGTTGGACCCTGGAACATGAACCCAGTACTTAAAGTCAGGAATACTTCTGGGCACATACAGAGTAAATTTCCTCCTTCACAGCTGACTCTTGGCACAGCCAAGACAATGGTTTCTAGATCAGAAAAGGGGGGCTGAACTGCTCTCTTTTTATAGAAACAGAGCCTCTGTGGTTTTGCTGTGCTCCTGTTCTGTAACCACTTGAGATTACTCAAGTCAGAAAAAAAGCAGATTCATCACACGGATCTGCCCTCGGCCATCATGCCCCTAGTTTTCAGTCCACCCATTCTTCCTCTGCTGCTCCTGTGCCCTGCTGCGGAATAATCCCTATAGACCCCCCCCCCGCACTACACACACGTCCTGCTGGGCATCTAGCAAAAAGAGCGAGAAACAAGGTGAGCACAGTCATCCTAGTGGACCTGCAAGGACCTGCCACACAGTGAAAGCCCTGGCCCTTGAGCATGTGCAGGCAGGCAGGCAGGCAGGCAGGCAGGCAGGCAGGCAGAGAGATGCCCCAGCTCCCCTTTCAGTCTTCTTTTCAAAATTTAAGCTTTGCATTTTGGGGTACCCTCTTCCCTCTGCACACCCCCTGCCCCTGCTCCTGGGTAGCTGTGACCTGAGGCTGAACAACTGCAATAAAATCTTGGTGTGTTGTTTGGTGAGGCAGCACGGCTGGAGCTCTGCTCCTGGCCCTCTCGCATTCTGTGCTTCCTCTGTGCAGCAGCAGGACACAGCAGCAGCCTTGGGCGTGCGGACCTTGCTCTTCCTAGCCATGAGCACAGAGTCCTTGTGCTGGACAATGGCATTTCAGGCTCTCCCATGCCAGGGGCTTCCTGGCTCTTGTGCAGTTTCTTCCCATTCCCAAAGGATGAAGGCCTCTCCTGAGGCTCTATTACTAGCAAAAAGAGCTTTAAGCTACCACAGGCTGGCATTTTCATTCCACCCCACCCATGACTGGAACATGGTCCCTGAGATGGACTATAAAATTGAATTGCCCCTTGGGCTAAGATGGGTTCTGCAGGCCTGGTTAAGGCTCAGGTTGAGCCCTCAACTCCACAGGAGGCAGTGAGGAGAGAGAGCAGAACTCAGATCTGTGGGCTCAACCTACCCTCTGCCTTTACCCATTGTGCCTCCAAGTCTCTCTGTAAAGCCCTGGTGGACAGCAGCAGCCTCCTGCTTTATATCCCCAGCAACTGAGAGCTGCCCGTTTCCCTCTTTTCTTTGCAAAGAAGAGTTGGGCTGCCTTCTGGTTGAGGGGCCTCCCCAGCACTCCCCAGCCAATTAATTTGGTAGCCCACTGCACAAAATCTATAGATGGGTTGACCCTTGTGGCTGTGGGCTCCACAGATTTGTTGCCCTTGGGGCCATGGTCACGCCACTGTTTTCAGGATAGTTATACAACTTGCGCTTCTATTAGTGACTTAATCTTTAAGGCGGACTCTTTAACTCATGTGTCTTTCTGGCAAGAACCAAAACAATCTCCTCCTTTGCTTCTCTTGCCCCACTCACCCCTGCAAAATTCGACCCACTTTTTCACCCTTCCTGTTGGCTTCTTTGCAAGTGCTCTCTAAATCACCCATTTCAAGCCTGGAGTTTCCTGCTCCCATTTTGTCCAGTGCTGAGCCTGCCTGCCTCTATTCCATGGATTTTAACTAATTTGTTGCTAGGATTTACTAAGCTGTTCTAACACTGGTTTATTTTGCAATTTTCTCCTTGCACAGCAAGCTGCTTTTTACCCAGCAGCATGATCTAGCAAGGCTGGAAACAGACACCACCAGATTCCTTCCCACTGTGGACTGCACAGACCTGGGCTCTGCACTATGGTGAGGCAAATCCCAGAAGGCAAGAGAGATGCGGAGGAACTCCCAGCCCTGCATTAGACCTTTAAGGAAGTAAAGGCACATTATGGACACCCTGTTTGCAGATCCCTGTCAGCCATTTGACACTCCCACACACACACACACATGTAGAGCAAGGGCTGCACTGCTCCCTGGCTGTTTTGCGACCCTGACTCATTTTCTTCCCCTTCCTCTCTTTCTTCATCCACCTGGAAGAAACAGCACAGGGCCCTGGGAAGGCATTTGTGAACCACTCCCTAATTTAAAAAAAACTCTCTGTGGATTCTCTCCTGTTTCCCTCACTATCCTTCTCTGTAGTCTGGGACAAAGAGATAAGAAGGGTTGGTGCTTCCAAGGTCACATAAGCCAATTTTGCTTCCATGCCAGTCCCCCAAGTGTTACCTAGAATGGCTGGCTCAGCTCACAGAAGCCTTGATATGGGGCAACAGTGAATAATTCAGCAGCAGTGGCTTGTGGTCCAGGTTTGCCACTGAGGCCCTCCGGATAGCGTTTAACCACGACCAGTTTCTCTGAGTTCCTCTGGGGACATTGCACTGGGCGCCCTGGTGTTCACACCATCATATGCTTGGTTTGTAATACACATTTTTAAAATGTCCAGAACATGCTTTCAGTCCATCTGGCAGAGCAGAAAATGCCCTTTGCACATGCAACTTAAGGCCAGTGTATTTCTGCTTCCTCCCCTTGCTTGGCCTCTGAAAGTCTTCCAGTCTTCTCTTAAAATGCATGTAAGAGATGGAGTGTCCTGTGCCAAACTTGAAACTGGCCGAACAGTATTCTGTGATAAGTGTTCAAACAGGTGCACATACAATGCAATCGTGGGGCTGGCTGGTGCTGCTGGAAACCCAAAGGGAGCAGCTTACAAAGATTAACAAGACAGTCCCTGCCTCTTCAGGTTGCCATTTAAAAGGCATAACGCAAAAGGAAAAGGGATTGGGACAAGGGAGGAAAGCAAAAACAAAAATTGGGCACCACTTCTTAGCTTCAAAGTTCCTCTAGGTTTTCTTTCTGGCATGACATGTGCTGCTTTGAAGGGTTGTAGAAAAATCCGAATGGGGAAAGGCTTTTCAAAGATAGTCTTTATGCTGTTCCTGCCTTGCAAATGAGCAGGGTTTAACTTCCAGGGGTCCAGCCCATTTGTGCAAAATCCACCCATCTCTGAGACCTGAGTCCAAGTCATAACTGAGCCTGTTCAAACTGTTCTAGCTGGGAACGGAGGGACTCTGGAGATTATAGAAGAGATGGGGTACCTTCTCCCCATGTTTCACTGCTGCTTCTGCAAGAATAGGTAGAGTCCAGCATGCTGCCCTTCCCCGGATGCTGATCTTCCTGGCATGTTCTTTGCTGAAAGCTGGCTTTTGATGTAGCCATGATCAACTGTGTAGGGCAGTGAATAAAAATGTGCAATGGCCATGGCATGTTGTTGCTGTTGTGCGTGCCCAGCGGGCCCTTATTCCATGCAGGGCTGCCCCAAACCCTGCCTTCCACACGCACCCAGTTAACATGGGGGTGCCATAAACGTCCTCTTGCAAATGTCCCATTGCAGTAGAAATTTCTCTTCCACTAGAGCTGTTGTCTGGAGGTCATCCACAGCCCTAGACTGAGCAATTTCCTGAATGCTCAAGAATTTGCTGGTGCAAACTAAGAAAGCAAGCTGGGGGAAGCGTTTACTCATCTCTGAAGAAACTGATCACCTTAATTAGATCCATCAAGAAAAGAATTGGGATTACAAATAAGTTATCTTCAACACCGGGGAGAGGGAGAAACTCTTCTCCTGGTGAGCACTGGGCAACATAGAGGAGTTGACAAAGAGGCTTCGAACAGGAGAATTGCCTGGAGAGGAGTTGAGGGGCTCCTGAACTGGCAGGAAACACCACCCCTTGGGGAAAGTGCCTTCTCTCTTCTTTCTATTAGGAACCACTCCTCGTTGCATAAATCTGAACAGGGCTGCAAATTCATGCACCAACAATTCAGAGCTCTGGAACGCAGTACCTGCAGCACAGCAAGTTAAATTGAGTGGGAAAGGACATAGCAGGGGTGGGAAGCTGAACAGGGGGCAAAGATGAAGGGGCCTTGGCTTCTCTGACACTATTAAACCCCCTCACCACATTAAACTGTGCATCCAAGAAGGGGTCTTCATACTTAGTCCAACATAAAACAGTGCAGAGCATATGTAAGATTTCAGGTTTCAGAGAACACTGGACTATGTGTAGTACTGTGAAATGTCAAGCTTTCATAATGTCCCTGGGTACAGGCACTGCCCACGAGGCAAAGAATCTTCAGCAGCAGCTACAAACTTGAATGGGTCACACTCCAAGAGGTTGTTTTCTAAGTAACTGCAGAATCAGTTTGCCACAATACATCTGCCCTCCCTCTTCTGGCCACTGAGGGGCAGCAGCATCTAAAGGTAAAGATTTCTAAAGGTTTCCTGATAGAAAATGTCCTAGAATTATCTCATTTTAAGTTGGCCTCTTGATCCACAAGAATCTGGCAGTCAACTTGGAGAAGACTTTCAAAATTTCTTCAATGCGCTGTCCTTGGAGAATAGAGATGGCACTCAAAGTGCATCTAGAGGGTCCTGGGCAGATGCAAGGAATGCCCCCTTAAGAACAACTCTTATTCAGCAAGATTATACACCTACCATGTGTGGTAGTCCATCCATTCCCTCTCCACCACTCTTACGTAAGACCTGCATTTCCCCATACCTGTATTTACAGCTTTCCTCTAATTATATTTAATTACCAATCTTTTTAAAAAAATTAACAAGAGCAGCAGTAAAAGTGGGCCTGGCTGGTTCCCTGCTTGCCTTTCTTCTACACCCACCTCTGGCCCAGCCAGGAGCACCAAGCCTTGCATAGCTGCAGGATGAGGAGCCCGCCCTGCACAGCCAAACCATCTCAGCAGCAACTTGGTATCCTGAACCGCAAAACTGGTTGGTGCAAACAGCTCAGTTCTCCCACAAGTATGGAAGGCAGTAGGAGTCTTCCTACTCGGATGGAGCGTTTAATTGGGGCATTCAAAATGCTTTGCTCATTGACCTTCACAACAGTCCTGCCTTGTAGGCCAGGATTAATAGTGTGGGAGTGGTGCTCATTGATTACAGCTGGCCTACTGGTTTTGACAGATTTGAACTGGGGACTCTGTCGCTCATAGCTCTGTCTCTATTGTGGGGCGGAGAGGGGGAGGAGAATGAACTCCTGGATTTCTAGATTGCAGTTCCGCTCAGGTGGGATGTCTGCCTAGCAAGCCTCTATGAGGAGCCTCCCTCAGTGGGAGCGCTACCACATACATGGCCCTCTTGGTCAGAGCCTAGTGACCGTGCCCCATCTAGGAGAGGGGATGCACGCCTGAAGGACTCCACCACGCTGGGAGCTGCACTGAGTGCAACCTATTTGTGGGAAATGGCTTGTGCAGACACCCCACACAGAACACCAACAGTTGGGGGGGGGGTTTAAAATGCTATTTCTGTATGCTCCTGTACGAGGGTGGTGGATTCACCTGTAGCTGTTCCTTCGCGGCTTAAGCCTCTGACTAAGAGGAAGGAGGGAAGGGTTCCATGCCCTGGCCTCCTCTTCCTGCTGCTGCACTTAGCAGCTTGCTCAACTTGCTTGTGCACTGTCACCCCGTCACTGAGGCCGAGACGCATCCTCATGGGGCTCCCTGCGCCTGGAGAGCTGGTTCCCTTACCACCCGCCTTCCCATTGCGTGCTCGGTAGGCTGGCCAAACTGTTGCTGCAACCAATCCGGTTAGAGAGCCTTTTATAAAAAGCAAGGAAGGCTGTGCTGAACTTCTGGTTTCAGTGAAGGGGAATATAGGATAATAATCACTAATTTATTATTTATTATATTTAATCCTAGGCTTCCTTCAGGTGAAGGTGTGGGTTTTCGCTTTTGGGGTGGCCAGAGTCTGTTCACAGCACCGGGTCTGAATGTTCCTGTGGCTTGCTGCTGTATGCATTTTTACAGCTGAGCGATCATTCCTGCCTCCTGGACACACTGGGAATGAAGTGTCTGTTGGATGAACAGCTTTCTTAAGACTTCCATCCATCTTGCTCACATTTCTCTGCAAGTTAATTGTAACAGTTGTTCTGGCTGACAAGCAGAAGGAATGTAGCAGGCAACAGCAGAGGGGAAGCGGGTGATGGATGTGCTTTTGATTTTCATGGGGGAGGCAGAGTCCTGACTTTGATCTTGAAGGAATGACTGGCAACAGACCGAGTCTGTCAGAGTGACCCTGTGAGAAAAGGCCCCCTACCCATCAGATCCATTTCTGCTTCAGTCCAGGCCACAAGAATGTTGCCATCACCAGAGAACAGAAGTTAAAAAAAGAGCTGTTTGTAGGGCACATGATTTTTAGATGGCTCAAGCTAGCAAGTCAAGCTACGTAAGAATCCTTACTGACCATTCTGGCCTGGCAAGATTATGTATTACTATTATTCATTTGTTAAATATGTGCATTGCTTCAACTTACACATACATAAAGAATTAATAAATAGAAAAAACAAAATTAATATTAACCATAATCAGGACAATAAAGCAAATGATACCAAAACATCATCAAAAAACTACAAGCCATATATATTAAGATGCTAAACAGAAAAAAGGATCTCAAGGTCAAGGTCTTTTCTCACTAATACCTGAGTGCAGGACACAGAATACTCAAGTTGCGACAACCCAGATTCAGGCTAGATATCAGGAAAAGTTCTCTCCCCGTCAGAGCAATACGGCAGTGGAACCAGCTGCCTGGAGAGGTGCTGGGCTCTCCCACACCAGAGACATTCAAAAAGAAACTGGGCAGCCACCTGAGTGGGATGGTGTGATCTGGAGTCCTGCAACAGCAGGGGGTTCTTGCTCTCTTCCAGCTCTCCTATTCTATGATTCTATCTTAACGCCAAAAGAGAGGAGACCAATTGCAGTTCTTCGGGGAACAGCTTCCCTAGTTCAGCAGCAACACAGCCTGTTCATACAGCCTCTGCAGGTCATGGCACCCTCAAAAGAGCCTCCCCTACAGAACGTCAGTAATATAATGGAAATAAAATACAAAACTGTCCATCCACAATACAAGAACTGGGCCACCACTAATGTCCAAACACTTGGGAAAGTAAGTTGATCTTTACCTGGTTTCAAATTTATTACAGTGTCAGAGCAAGATGAAATTCCCTGGGACAAGCATTAGACAAATGCAGGGCAGAGAAATGCAAAGCCCCTTCCAGACCTGCCCCTCCACAGGCTTCTCTGAAAGGAAATACAAAGAAATGGGGCTGCGCAGCCAATCACCACTGGGGCAAATAGGCTTCACACAGGGCAACCAGAGCAGCAGCAGCTTCCTAAAAACACAGGCGTGATCCTGGTTCGAGACATGCTTCGTTCTGCATCCTGTCTCCTGCAGCTGAGCATGACAGGCAAAATACCCAGTTACCTGGCCACCCTGACACACTCAGAGTTGGCCTCTGGATGTGCAGATGCCATGTTTAATTAGGTTATGACTGAGAAAACAAAGTAGGCTGTTCTCAGACATAAGCAAAACTGCAAAATCCACTGTCAGCAACTATATTGGGAAACTAAACATGCAGAAAATACTGGGCAAAATCTCTCTATCAGGCTAGGTGTTACAAAAAGTAGGATGGGGGAATGGCTGACTTGATGTCGACATCATGAGGTTGCCCTAGATAAAACAGAGAAAGGAGAGATGTTGTGCAGTGACACCCAGGCCATGTGCAAACATTAACTCCCCTATTTTTAGAATCTTTTTTTTTGTAAAATCAAGTTTCTCTCCATCTATTAGGGGAAACACACAAATGTCCTGGAAGGCAGAAGCAAAAGTGAGAGTCACTGTGGTGTAGCGCTTACAGGTGCAGCTCTGGAACTTTTATTATAACTAAATCTGAAGGGAAGTCTTTCAGTGAGAAACAGCTCCATCCTTCTCCTAAATATACCCAATTCCATCCTATATTGTGTCTTATCAAAGCCAGAAGGAACTGGGAAACTCTTTTGGAGGCAGAGAGGAGGCAATACAATCCTTACTGTGGTATGTTCCCCGCAGTGGCAGCAAGAGGACATTGTATGTATTCATTATGGCATTTCTATGTGAGAGCCAAATTCAGCCCCCATCCCGAACAATTCTTATCTGCCTTCTGCCAAGAGCTGGCCTAATCCGGTCTATCTCACTCTCCTAAACACACCTGAGAAGGCCAGAAAAAGACTGGGTGGGATGTGATAAGATTTTGACTTCCTTGGGACTGAACAAAACATGTTTGGAAGATTTTCTTCCATGTTATGCTAGGAAACTGAGACCATCCACCCCATTCTTCCCATCTGAGCAGATAACTCATGCTAAGATACATAAACAGACTGAGCTCTTCTCTTGAAAAGTGAATTGTAAAAGTTTTTGAACTGTTCTCTTTACTGAAG